TATATGTATTCTATTCAGTTGAAAATTCTTTTGAAGAATTTCTTGATAAAAGTTTTAGTTTCTCCTGTTCTAAATACCACACAATCCACAGATATAATGCTCTATCTTTTAACAGGATACAGTGTATTACAGGGGTGGGCGTTCATATCAATACAATGAAGACGACTTTACCTATTTAATGTTTAATTTCTAACAAGCTTTCTTCAAAATAATGAATGAAAGTAAAGAAAAAGAAGCTGATAATTGACAGCATATCTTTGTTTTCATGCTTATATGTATCCATGCTGTTAGAAAGCTTATATGTATCCATGCTTATATGTATCCATGCTGTTAGAAAGCTTATATGTATCCATGCTGTTAGAAAGCCTGGTAAAACTTAAAATAAAAAATCTAAAGTCGTCTTCATTGTATTGATATATTACGAAGACTTTAGTATGAACAGGATACAGTATTAACATGATACAGGGTACAGTATTAACAGGATACAGGGTACAGTATTAACAGGATACAGGGTACAGTATTAACAGGGTACAGTATTAACAGGATACAAAATACAATATTAACAGAATACAGAATACAGTTTTAACAGGATACAGGGTACAGTATTAACAGGATACAGGGTACAGTATTAACAAGATACAAAATACAATATTAACAGAATACAGAATACAGTTTTAACAGGATACAGGGTACAGTATTAACAGGATACAAAATACAATATTAACAGAGCTGAAAACTTTAGAATGGTGGATATCGGGATTAATGCTTAATCCACTCTTTTTCTTAATCTCGAGATTAAATATTGCTTGTTCTCCTCTCATTTTTAATCTCCAGATTAATTATCCGATCAGGATTAAGGATATCCCATTCTAAAGTTTTCAGCTCAGGATACAGAATACAGTTTTAACATAATACAGGGTACAGTATTAACAGGATACAGGGCACAGTATTAACAGGATACAGGGCACAGTATTAACAGGATATAGTATCAATGGGATACAGAATACGGTACACAATTAATATGATACAAAATACCGTAGTTGATTGCAAAATGGATATATCCTATTGAACAGAGTCATTAACCCTTTTCTGGATAGCACCTAAGTTAATTCTATAAGATATGAATAAAAAGTCTAGAAATGAAAGAAAATTGAATTCTGCATCAAATATAATCATGAATATAAATAAAGCCTTCAAAACTTTATTTTGTGATGTTGCCAAAATGTCAAACTTTTCGACTGAATTGTTAATAAAATATTTGAAAAATATTTGGTTTCAAGAACGGGTTACGGGGATCGCAGGGATTTAAAAGGACTGTACACGTTTAATTTTAAGTGACTCTACATACAAATTTGTCAATGCCCGATTCACAACGGTACACTTGAAACCTTTTAATTAATCAAAAATGTGGAAGATTTGGTTGTATTTTTTATGTTTTAAAGTGTTTAATTCTGATAAATCAACTGAGTAAAGAATATTCCACTCATACTTTAGATCCCATATACTTTTCTGCAAGTCACTTTTGTAAAGTAATCACAATATGAAAATAATCAGATTTGAAAAATTAAAAACATTGTCCTATGATTCATACTCATAGAGAATAGAATATATATTAGAGGGGAATTTAAAGAATCTCCTGGTATGAATTTTTTCAGTCCCTTTCAGCCAGAAAGGGAGTTCAAAGGTACAAATCATGTAAATGTTCACAAATTAAATGCAGTAGAGTACACTAATACAGTATGCTCCCTTGAGTATTCATTTCAATTTCGAATTTTTTAAAGCTGTTAAATAAACTTTATAATGAATTAGACGTGAATAAAAAACATCATTTGATTTATAGTTATAACGGGAAATCATCGTTTGTAAAGTGGAAGGCATAGAGTCTATGTGAAATGATCATTGGTCAATTATGAAACCAGTCTATTTCATAATTTGTTTTTCTTTCAATATTAATTTTAGATTTTCTATAAAATGATATTCCAGGGCCTAAAAGGTTATATAGCATTAATATGTGAAATACACCTGCAGTATGGAAACAGTTGGAACAAAATGGCCGTTTTACACTTTTTTCTAGTAAATTCCCCTCTTATATATATTCTATTCTCTATGTTCATACTTTATCAGACACAGCTTTTAAGGGTGGCCGTTCTAAATCGGACAATGCATTTAAGGTCAATTGAAATTACGCTTTCAGCTCCTTCAGTAAATCTATCTTTATCCTTTATCTGACCTTTGATCCCAAATTGACCTACAGGGTGTTCCAATAAACATGGGCATTAAGTGACGACTTTTATCTTGTATTGGAGACCCCTAATCCCCGGTTGCTAGTTCTCTGTATCTACTGTACGGGCCCTTTAATTTTCTGCTAATCAGCTGTAGAAACTGTAGAACCTGTCTTTGAACCAATAAGAGTTCTCTCATTGATTCCGCGCCAAAATGTTGTAGATTATCAGCTTCTGATTGGCTGTCCTGTTTCTGCGGTCGACATTTGATTGGTTGCACTGTATACACTTTTCCGGATATTAATGTAAGATAAGATTTTTCCTGAGATCCACAATTTGCTAAAGTGTTCGATTAAAAGATTCATAACATATTCCTTTGCAAGGAAGAAATATTTTTAGGCCCGGGATTATATTAAAACCATCACAAATATATTGATTAATTTGTCCTACACCATAGATAAAGATAGATTGTGCATAAGACGACATTTTTCATCTTGAAAGATATAAATGTACAGTGTTTTAAAGATATTCCTATTATATAGATTAACTAGGTCGGTTGTGAACATTGGCTGTTCTTATGTCATTGAGTACTTGTGGTGTACATGAGTTCTGTAAAGAGAAATTTAAGTTAGTTTAGTCCTTCTCATGTTCTTACAGGTTAGTCCAGGGACCATAGATGCTTACAGGTTAGTCCAGGGACCATAGATACTAACAGCTTAGTACAGGGATCAATGATACTTACAGTCCAAGGATAATAACAACATCAACTCCACGAACTGCAGGTAATCCAGGCACCATTAACTCCTTCTTAAGATTCTCTAAATTCAAATTAAAGATTAAAATTCAAATATTTAAGACAGATGTAAAATTATATGAACAAATTAGATTTTAAATCTGTTGTATGTAATTAAAACATTATTCTACAGTTATTTATTATTAAATTGTTTGTTAATTTCTTAGAGTAGGGTTCGCGGTAAGACCCAAGGTCGAATTTTGGCCCGACATATATATTTTTTTAAATAACGAATTTTTGACTATCCCCAGAAGAAGCCTTACCCACCTGTATATCTAACATGGGCAGATTGTAATCGGGTAACAAACACTAATCCTGAATTAATGATCTTTAGAGTTCTGAAATTTTAGCAAACTTTATCAACTGAGTGGTGAATAGCTAGAAGGGGATCATTCATTTGGCGTAAAGTTCCGTTTTGCCGCATATACAGGGTGTCCCAATAAACATGGGAATTCAGTGACGAATTCGATATCGTCTTTTCAAATAATTCTTTGATTTAGTATAGTGATACCTACTGAGAATGCTATCATCTGTAAGAGTTTCGTCTGCTTATGTTCACATTTTATTTGTTTATGTTTTGACCGCATACGGTTGTACTTAGTAAAACAAGAAAATTGCAGTACACAAACAGAGTAAACTTGTCCTTCTTCACATGCGGAGACATAATAGACACATCTTTGCAGTCTTTTACCCTTTTCATAAGATAAACTTCAGCAGACATAATAATATTATGGCTTTTTAAATTAGGTATTACAATGCTAATTCATAACAAAGACGATTTCGAATTCGTCACTGAATTCCCATGTTTTTTGGGACACCCTGTAGTTTGTATTTTTACTGTACTGCTTGCCCTGTCTAGTAGAAATTCTGCCTGCTACATGAAATGAATGAACTGGAATGTAAAATATGGCTCTGTCCCTTACTCAGTCTTATCTTTGTAAAATAAGATGAAGGATAAATCACGGCCCGCTTATAGATATCCCTCTATCTATCGATCTTCACTAATCTGGGCCAGCGTACATGTGATTTTGTGGGTGTGCTTCACATCTGTTGTATCTCAGTGGACCCTAGATTTTGGGGAAATTTTTTGAATATCTGCATGGTGTACTTACAGTTTCACTTTAACAAATTTTCAATTTGGCTGTCGTTCATTCTCTGAAAAAATTTGTCCTTTAAAAACTTTGAAGTAAAGTTCAGGGTCCAAATCAGAGAAGACCAATTTGGTAGATCGAGGGCCCTGGAGATACTGAAGCTAAAATATTGTAAACATAATATTTCCTCCCAAAAGTTGGGTAGCATCAAATGAGATTTCCAAAATGTGGTCTACCGTTTTTGTGGCTAAAGAATTGACTGAGATATTGAAAAATTTGTAATTAATAGTATTAAATATAACAAAGGTTGGTTAAATCTTCAGTATCTCCGACTATTTATATGTTACAAAGAAGAAGGCAAAATGTTTAAAAGGCTTACAATGCTTTTATAGATTCTTTTGACAACTTTACGAAAATCAAATACAAATTGTATGTTCACGGTTCAATGTCTAACGTACGGCATGACACCCAACCCAGAAAATTACATCAAACCTTGACTACGATACAGTGTGTCCCACGAATCATGACAGTTGGGAAATAGGTAAGAATGTCTTCTTCCATAATTTGTTGTAAGTTGTTTAATATCAAAGACAATAATAAAAAATTATATAGGAGTCGTTTTAAAGTAAAACTCTTTTCAAAGTAAAATATATTTGAGCAAAAGATTTCTAAACTAAATAAACTGCATAAAGCCTTTAACATCTAATACAATGACTGGAAGACGACATTAAAAACTATTTACCAACTGTCATGTTTCGTGGGACACCCTTTGGATCCATATAAGTAAACCAAAGAAAAATAAATCAAAGATTATGAAATAAAGGATAAAAACAAAGATGAATAAATCTGTCTATAAAGAACAGTATAAAAGATAAATAACTAAATTATAAGCATCGTATTATTTAATTGTTATGTTTAAGGGACACTTCAGCATTTGAACTGGGACGGTCGTCTTCTAAGGGTGGACAGTGAACCGAAGGTGAAGCTTAAATTATATGAAAGGGATTGTTTGTAAAATCTAAGTGGTTTTAAAGTTTAAAGATCAAAGAAGTGTGTACACTGTAAGTGAGCTGTAAGAAGATTGTATAAATGATACGAATGAATATTAAGATTGTTGTATGGTACCGCATAGACCACTGCAGCTAGGTACGGGGTAGTTTGCTGTAGGTACCGCATTGACCACTGCAGCTAGGTACGGCTTAGTTTGCTGTAGGTACCGCATAGACCACTGCAGCTAGGTACGGCGTAGTTTGCTGTGGGTACCGCATAGACCACTCAACTAGGTACGGGGTAGTTTGCTGTAGGTACCGCATAGACCACTCAGCTAGGTACGGCGTAGTTTGCTGTAGGTACCGAATTAGATTTTAAATCTNGCGTAGTTTGCTGTGGGTACTGAGTAGATTACTGCAGGTATTGCGTAGTAGATTATTGCAGCTACCGCGTAGTTTGCTGTGGGTACTGAGTAGATTACTGCAGGTATTGCGTTGTAGATTATTGCAGATACCGCGTAGTTTGCTGTAGGTACTAGGTAGATTACTGCAGGTACTGAGTAGTAGATTATTGCAGATACCGCGTAGTTTGCTGTGGGTACTGAGTAGATTACTGCAGGTACTGAGTAGTAGATTATTGCAGATACCTCGTAGTTTGCTGTGGGTACTGAGTAGATTACGGCAGGTATTGCGTAGTAGATTATTGCAGATACCGGGTAGTTTGCTGTGCGTACTGAGTAGATTACTGCAGGTACTGAGTAGTAGATTATTGCAGATACCGCGTAGTTTGCTGTGGGTACTGAGTAGATTACTGCAGGTATTGCTTAGTAGATTATTGCAGATACCGCGTAGTTTGCTGTGGGTATTGAGTAGATTACTGCAGGTATTGCGTTGTAGATTATTGCAGATACCGCGTAGTTTGCTGTAGCCTGTAGGTACTGGGTAGATTACTGCAGGTACCGAGTAGTAGATTATTGCAGATACCGCGTAGTTTGCTGTGGGTATTGAGTAGATTACTGCAGGTATTGCGTTGTAGATTATTGCAGATACCGCGTAGTTTGCTGTAGCCTGTAGGTACTGGGTAGATTACTGCAGGTACCGAGTAGTAGATTATTGCAGATACCGCGTAGTTTGCTGTGGGTACTGATTAGATTACTGCAGGTATTGTGTGGTAGATTATTGCAGATACCGCGTAGTTTGCTGTGGGTACTGAGTAGATTACTGCAGGTATTGCGTTGTAGATTATTGCAGATACCGCGTAGTTTGCTGTGGGTACTGAGTAGAGGTATTGTGTGGTAGATTATTGCAGATACCGCGTAGTTTGCTGTGGGTACTGAGTAGATTACTGCAGGTATTGCGTTGTAGATTATTGCAGATACCGCGTAGTTTGCTGTGGGTACTGAGTAGACTACTGCATGTATTGTGTAGATTTCTGTAGGTACTACTTAAATTACTGCAGGCATTGCGTAGATTACTGTATGGTACTGTGTAGATTACTTCAGGTACCCCGTAGATTACAGTAGGTACTTCACATAGATTACTGTATGTACCACGTAGACCCTATGATACTAAGATTATTGTAGGTACTGTGTAGATCCTCTCGAACTAAGATTACTGCCAGTACCATGTATGACCCTATAATAAAAAGATTACTGCAGGTACCACATAAATCCTCTAATACTAAGATTACTACAGGTTCCACGGAGATCTAGATCTTGTAAAACACGGCGAACACATCTCCCCCCTCCACATCTCGGGCCCAGGTATAGAAAAAAAGGTTTAAAAGATGGGGATAATTTTGGGAAACGCGCGCGCTTTTTAGTTCAGAAGATTTTGACGCCCAGAAATATTTTTTGGCGTTCTGTCAGTAAAATAAAGTTTGTCTGTTTATTTGTTTGTCATATTGAATGGTGTATTCAATAATTTATTTATCATCTCATTTATTTAATGATTTCTTGATTTATAACTATTTAGTTAATTTTTCATTAGATTTTAAACAATCTGACTTTTAGTGTGCTCCGCGCCTCCTTTCTAGTAACAATTTTAGCTGTAAACAGTTGCTCCTCAAGCCGCCATTTTTATCTGTGAATCGTATTTTGCGGATTTTATGCATCTAATTTTTCGCGCATTATCACAGATTAGAAATTTCGATATTTTGTTCATAAACCTTTCCTGAGGTCAGGTAATTTCAGTCTTTCAGATATAATTTGGACCCGATCGATCCAGCCGTTTTGACGTTTATTAGATACAAACAGACAAACAAACATGTACAAGCAAAGTAAAAATACATATATAAAATATAAATAAAGATGTACAAGACAAAATTACGAGAAGCATCTTGAATTGGTCTGGATAAAATATTTTTATATATTTATTAGAAAAAGCTTGAGTACTTCTAATCTTTTCCCCTCTCCACTTCAGGTGAGAAACTTATCCAGGGGAAATGGTAGATAAATATTACTAGTTGGAAGTTTTATCATATATTAATTTTTTAGGGGCAAATGCGAGTGGAAAAGGGGCATTTAGTTTTGCTAATTGGGGCAACTTTATATTTTCTGGTGGCGATTTTATAAATATTAGGGTCAATCAAAGTAAAGTTGAAAAATTTTGGGAGCAATTCTAAAATTATTTGGGACAAATGTGTTAGTGGAATTTAACAATTTTTTAATCGGGGGCATTTTTTACCATTGGGGAATTTTTTTAAGTTGAGGGCAAAAAATAATTTTTGGATCGAGAAAATCAGCTATTTTGGGAATTATATGGACCCCTGTATATTTTAAGTAACTTTTAAAACTTTACATCTTTTTGAAATAGATGAGCTTGAATTCCTGGTAAACCTGATGTACGCTGCGTACAATGTGAATTCAACACAGCTGATCCATTGCTTTCTAACATTAACATTAATATTATCTAGATATAAAAACATCTTATAGCATTAAAAATGATAATCAGCATCGTTTCTGTAGATTAATGACCCGGAAGGGTCCGACATCCTTGATCAAGGGTTTAAGGGTACTGTTTTGAATCAGACACGCAACTCTATCAATGGGGGTTTATTTGAAAAACGCTTACAGTCCCTTTAAAAGAGATTAATCACTTTTGAACAGTTTGTGAATAGATCTAGCCTTGCTTATTACATATAATACTCACTGGGAGAATTCTTCAGTTCCTAAATAAAACTAAAAAGATGGTATCTAACTAATAAGGGATTAGAATTTTATAAAATTCCAATAAAACAGAAAAATATGTTAAATAAAAAGAATTTAATTTATTTATGATGCACTTGAATATTGTCAAATAGATGAAATAATCTGATTTTTAAAAAAATATTTTTTTTAAGATTTACCGTTCCGTGTCAAAGTAAAATACATTGAATTCTTAATTATTATAAACGGATAATATTTAGCATAATGGAAGTATGAATTATTATATTGCTGATAATATTTAGCATAATGGAATTATGAATTATTATATTACTGATAATATTCAGCATAATGGACGTATGAATTATTATATTACTGATAATATTTAGCATAATAGAAGTAAAAATTATTATATTACTGATAATATTTAGCATAATGGAAGTATGAATTATTATATTACTGATAATATTTAGCATAATGGAAGTATGAATTATTATATTACTAATAATATCTAGCATAATGGAAGTATGAATTATTATATTGCTGATAATATTTAGCATAATGGAAGTATGAAATAATATCTAGCATAATGGAAGTATGAATTATTATATTGCTGATAATATTCAGCATAATGGAAGTATGAAACTCTCCTCTCGAAGTGAGGATGCTGTTCTCAAATTTCTGAGGTTAGCTAAAAGACTGATTATTGATTAATATCTTTATTACTTTAATTTTCTCCTCCTTATATCTTTACAACCTAATGTATTTGATATTTCAAACCATCGAGAAAGCTTACCTCAGCTTATCTCATTCTCTTATTTTAAGAAATTGATTTAAAAACTGTGTCAAATGTTTATCAAAACTCATTTGGTCAACAGATGCCTGGGACCAAATACTAAATGACCATTGGTGTCAAGGATGTAATGCAAGGAAAGTTATTTTAGAAGTGTACAAATCTTTTGTACTGTAGTGTACTGTCTCTGGGCGGTAATGTAAACACAAGACGGATGTCGAAGCCTGACATGGGATCCATCTTTCACATAAAAAAAATCAATAAAATATTCTGGTCATAGGAAACTATTATGTGAATTATCAAAATTATCAAAATTGAATGCTTTTAACCTTCTCGGATACTAAACGAACACTGATGCATCTATTCTTGTTTACACATTCTGCCCAGAGAGAACTGGTTTCAATACGTACGCAGAGTATATGCAACTGCAATTAACTTTCCTTGCATTACATTCTTGATTGGTGTAAATTCTGGTCATGTGATCCAGACGTAACCTTTATATTGTCAATTATATCTAGCGATAATGAATAAGCATCATATAACCATTATAATAGGAGCGCACCTAAACTTTTTAGGCTCCTCTAAGTTATTGTGATTTTCTAATACAAACTATCATAGGAGCATATACTTAAAATGTTTTGCTCCTCTGGGTTACTGTAATTTTCAGATTTGTTGCATATTTGTTGAATATTATCTGTTTCAACTTTTATTCACATACCTACCAAATCTCATTTATATGATTATGAGTTTTGGTACAACACTTTGAAACAGTTTTACATCAATTTCTCAAGCCANTGCATCTTTCTGAATTTGTATGGACACTATGTTCCTCGGTATTAGTCGTTTTTAACAATTTTCTCCTTATAGACGCAACAGATAGAAGTAAGATTAGCAGCGATCAAAAGCGCTTTTTTATCGCATTAAGCCTATACCCCCTTTCATTTTTCGCGAACACTCCCTTTAACAAAAATATTAATTAGATAAAATTAAACGTTAATTGCTGCTTAAAATCCTGTCAATTGTGAATATTCCCTGGAATTTTTTTTCAGAAATACAGGGTGTCCCACGAAACATGACAATTCTAATATCTTCTTTATCTATGAAACACTTTGCTGCATTTATGCGTCAATTCCTGAGTCTAAAACTAAAGAACAAAAAATTTCCGAGTTAAATTTTAAGTTTCAGCTTAAATGCCACTTCTGGCCTTATTTAAACCTGAATTTTAACCCTGGGTTTAAATATTTAACACGCCAAAATCGACGAGATAAAATTTAAACCAGGACTAAAATCTTTAAATCCCGCATTTTCCAAATTAGTCTATCAATCAATCATCATTCAGCTGTAAAAGAGCCATTCAACTTTAAGTTATATTTAAAAGTGAAAAACTTTATCTGAATTTAATGAATTTAAGTCGCGTCTCAAATCCCCCAAAAAACAGTTTCTATTGAGCACCGGCTTAAATATTGAAAAATTGAAAACAATTTTAAGTGGAACCAACCTTATTTGAGCCCGGCCTAAATTTAAGCCGCGGCTCAAATTCTTGAAATTCGGCCTCTTCATTGAATAAATTTTACATTTTAGATTAATTAATGTTTGCATGTAACCCCAAAAAAACGGTTGTAACTGTAAATATGTTTTGTTTTCGGATATGTTAATAATTTAGAATTTGAAAACAGCTGATGAACAATGGTTACGTAATATCTCTCCGAAAATCCTTTTCTCTGATTGGTTCAGATTTTTCCCGGGAAATTCAAATTTCTTTTCAGGGTTTTATTGAGAAAGTTTAATTTTTAATTAGCAATTCATTATTTTACAGAACTTTTAAGCTTTAACTTAAATTTCACGCATTCTTTAGTTTTTATAGACTCTGCTTCTACAAGTGTTAAGAAACTGTTGTCTGCCATTTTGTGCATTTAAAATGCTGCATATTGCAAGCTAAAGATCAAAGCCGAAAATTGTAAACCCTATTATGATGGGGGGGAGAGGTTTACTATCTCCCACCCAATAGACTAATAAAGTTCGACATTTTGTTTTCAAAAGTTGATTTTTTTATTTAATTATTTTTTCCATTCCCTTTTTTTAAATTCCGCGGGTAACTCCGAGCATTTCATCTAATTATTATTCTTATATAGCTATGGGGTAGAGAGTATACTGGAATTAGAGGAAGATGAAGATTCATCTATTTAATATGATAAATGTTCTTGAACAGACCGGAGTGAGGGTAGAGAGTATACTGGAAGTAGAGGAAGATGAAGATTCATCTATTTAATATGATAAATGTTCTTGTACAGACCGGAGTGAGGGTAGAGAGTATACTGGAAGTAGAGGAAGATGAAGATATAAATGTTATTGTACAGACCGGGAGGGTAGAGAGTATACTGGAAGTAGAGGAAGATGAAGATTCAACTATGTTAAAATGATAAATGTTATTGTGCAGACCGGAGTGAGGGTAGAGAGTATACTGGAATTAGAAGAAGATGAAGAGGATACATCTTCAAGTGTTAGAAGTCAAGGTAATACTTTTATCCTACTACAATGAGAACCAGAAACTTGGGAATTGGAAGAAGATATTACAACAATAATTAAATGTATTTGATGTTGTCACAAAGAAAATAGTTTTATGTACTTCTTAGTAGCTTAAAAATTAAGTGTTAAGTGAAACTAGTAGGTCTATGTACACTATACAATTTCTTATTTCATGAACAATTGGTCTGTTTAAAATTAAAAAGTAAGTCTTAAAGCAAAGAGAATAGAATATATATTAGAGGAGAATTTAGAGAATCTGATAAACTTTACAATGAATTAGGTGAATAAAAAACATCATTTGCTTTATAGTTATAACGGAACCAGCCTATTTCATAACTTGGTTTTCTGTTAATATTAATTTTAGATTATTTATAAAATGATGTTCCAGGGCCCAAAAGGTTACATGGCAAAAATATGTGAAGTATACCTGCAGTATGGAAACAGTACAACAAAATGGCCGTTTTACACTTTTTTCTAGTAAATTCCACTCTAACATATATTCTATTCTCTATGTCTAAAAGCCGTCTTCCTATTTGACAGTTTTATGAATCCTATTGTATATTAGTAAACAAAACTTTATGTAAAGATGTCAATGTTAATTAAGGGGTATCTAATTTTAAGAATTACTTTCCCGGGGGGGGGGGAGTGATGTTTGATGATCTAGGGAAAATATGAAAAATTGTACATCAAATTATCCTTTTTGACACTTGTTAGCCCCCAAAAAATGTTCACCCTAGTTTCCCTCATTTTACTGGGAGAAAAATTATTTGCAAAATGATTTTTTTTCAGACAAAATTTACCCCTTTATTAATCTGGGGGGAAATTCAAATAAAAAATACCATTTTTTTAAGGAATGTTGCAAAATAAATGCAATGGCTTTCTTTTATGACACTTTTTCATCTTTATACTAAATGACTTGTAAATTTGAGTTGGAGGCAAAGACTTTTGAAACTCACTTATTCTATTTTGAAACTCACTTATTCTATTTTGAAACTCACTTATTCTATTTTGAAACTCACTTATTCTATTTTGAAACTCACTTATTCTATTTTGTTAAAAATGTTAATGTTAAAGTAATACTGCTGTTCAAATTTTTTAACAGAACTAAAATTTTAAAAAAAAGATTTTTATTTGCTGACTCTTTTTTCCGATGTAAAAAAATAGCATTTTTGATGTGTTATCTTATATCTTTTTTAGTCTCACAGTCAAAATTTTCTGTGAAAAGACGACATAGCTCACTTGTAGATCTAGAATGGTAAAAATGAATAATGAAAATAATAATGATGAAATTTTTTATTAAAGTTGCATTGTACCATTTAAGGCGGCGCCATAAGGCCTATTTTTGAGCAATGAGGAAGAAATAATTGTAAAAATGTTCAGATTTTCACACTTTTCCTCGTTGTCTCAGCAGCAGAAATCAGCTTGGCATTTTACTAGAAAAGCCGCAATTAAATCATTGTGAGTCAGAAGTGCCACTCAATAGATTTAGGGTTTCTTGATTTTACGTTTACATTAATTTTATTACGTTTTCCTGTCTGTAAATTACAAAATTAAGAAACTGTAAAATTTTAACATGAGAAAATTAAATTACAATTTTTTTCAAAATTTGCTAAAATAATTCTATTGTTTTAAAATAATTGTTAAATATTGTATTGTTTATGATTAATTCAACTGAATAAAATGTTTAGGGAAAAATTGCCATTAAATGAATGGACATCTATAATGATAAATGAAGACCCTGTTACTGCATTTTCTAGCATTATAAATAGTATGTATCATGTATGAAGATATAGGACCCATAAAACTGTGTAATTAAAAGAACACTGTTAAACTCACCTTATGGTTTTAAATACTCAATTTAACATTAAACACAGCAAATGTGCAGTGCAGTGTGTTATAGACTCATTTCACTCAATACAGTAATTTAAAAAAACTAATTCTGGAAACGTATCCACCCCCAAAGTAGGAGTTTTGAACGTCGAATTTGCGCTCAAACTCGGGATTTACAGATCTTTAAAAAGTTTAATATGTCTCAAATGAATCTGAAAGAAGTTTTCCTCAACACTGCTTACTCAGTTCAACTACCTTACATAGCCGGTCACTCCCTTTAAATACTCCATTGAACATTAAGCACAGCAAATGTGCAGTGTGTAGGCTCATTTCATTCAATACATTCATTTTTAAGCCATTGTAAAAACTATTTGCTTTGCAACAACATCAAACCTACATAAAATTCCTTTAATGTCGTCTTCCTATTCCCCAGGTGTATATAACATTTAAGTTTCTACTTTATTGGTGGATATTTAAAAAATTGGAAAACGCTTTTAAAATTGGACCGCGACTATCCTATTTTCTGTACTAAAAGAGGTCCTACATTACATGAAAATTAAGTCCTGATAATTAAGTTTAAGTGGAAAAAAATTGATACAAAAAAGTCTTGTTATTTTGTTTTTGTAATAAATGATTCTCTATCGAAAATACAATTTAACGGACAAAACCTTTAAAGAGATGTTTGTTGTGTTAGAAAACTAGCGTCTAGGGAGGGACTTCATTTAAAGAATTGATGATTTGATTTAGGTTTAGGAGTTCAGCTACCTCTCTAATTCATTAAATTCAGATTCGATCCACAAGCAACCAGGAACATAGAAAAAGAATACATTTTGGTTGTTGCTCTGGGGCAAATTCAAAGATTTATTGAAACATGGAAAAACAGGAGAACAGAAGGAACATTATCAGTTGTAGTAGTTTATTGAAGAGAAGAATTGAACCAGAATGGAGCAGTCAGACTGGAGCAGCCAGGATGGAGCAGGGTCGATCCTAGGGTTAGGTTACCATTCTGTATAGATTGGGTCTTCTGATGGATCTGATGCCAGAGCAATTATCAGTCTTGTTTATATTGTTAGATAACAATTACGATTACAAACATAAAGTACAGGGTTTATTATCGACAATTATTTATTTCCCTGTTGTTTTGATTTAATGTTAAGTTTCTTTAATACTAAAATGTAAGGAAGGTTTGACCTGAATAATCGGTCAACTTGGGTTCAAGTCTAAAGATAGATACGGAGAAATTGGACTGTTGTTTTTATATATTTTTAAGTTTTAATTGCTTTTACTAACAAACTGTGTGTTTTATTTTTAGTATATTACTATCCGAAAATGACATATACATAATGTATTATTTAATATATAGGAACTAAACACTAAAGAGATATTAGGTACTTTCGCAACGCAATTTACAAAGTGACAACTTCCCAAATGTGCAATTTACCAAGCGGCAAGTTCCTAAGTCCGTCCTAGCCGCAGCGTTTGGTCCGGGGGGCGGAAACGTCATGTGTTTGTGTCTGTACCAAAAGAGTGTGTGTAAGGAATATCGAACCGAAGGTGTGTACTGTAGGTATATACAGTGCTATGAATCTTGGTATTTGTACAGTCTAGGAGAGTACATTTGTTTATTGTTAATTGTTTACTTGAAAATAAGTTTAATATACATGTAATATATTATTTACATATTTAAGTCAACACTATAAGCCAAATTTGCATGCAAAGAATATAATTTGATTAAAGGTTACAATGCACTACTCATTTTTCAAGTTTAACTATAATTAACAACATTGTTCTGCAATTTCCTTGACTGTAATCATGTTGTGTGTCTGTACCGAAAAAGTGTGTGTAAAGAATACCGAACTCGTCTGCAAAGCAGTGCGACTGGCTTTCTCATGTCAGACCAGCGCTATTTCCTATCCCTTTATTTCTATTCCCTGGTTCGGGCCCTTGTCTGCTTATACCGAAGCGCGCGGCCCCCTAGCCAATCCTAGTCGCAGCACTCGGCCCCGATTGCAGCAGCTACAGCGCAACAAAAGGTCTAAATTAATCTTTGGAAAGTTGCCGCTTGGGAAAATGCACATTTGGAAAGTTGTCCCTTGGGAGGTTGTCACTTTGTAAGTTGTCACGTTGGATGTCGTCCTTGGGAAAATGACCAAATACTACAAAATTAAATAAATCGAGTCTTCCAACGATCATATTCAATTTGCCAAGAGATTAAATAGCTGTCGTATTCATCTCTAAATTTGTTTTTTAATTTTTCTAAATATTTGGGAAAATAGTTTTTTCCCGTTGAAGAAACAGGAGTACTAGTGGTGTTTTCAGCTGTGGGATTGTAGTTTTCAGTTGTGGTATTGGAGTTTTCAGTTGTGGTATTGGAGTTTTCAGTTGTGGTATTGGAGTTTTCAGTTGTGGTATTGGAGTTTTCAGTTGAAGTATTGGTGTTTTCAGCTGTGGTATTGGAGTTTTCAGTTGTGGTATTGGAATTTTCAGGTGTGGTATTGGAGTTTTCAGTTGTGGTATTGGAGTTTTCAGTTGTGGTATTGGAGTTTTCAGTTGTGGTATTGGAGTTTTCAGTTGTGATATTGTAGTTTTCAGTTGTGGTATTGGAGTTTTCAGTTGTGGTATTGGAGTTTTCAGTTGTGGTATTGGAGTTTTCAGTTGTGGTATTGGAGTTTTCAGCTGTGGTATTGGAGTTTACATTTGTGATATTGGAGTTTTCAGTTGTGGTATTGGAGTTTTCAGTTGTGGTATTGTAGTTTTCAATTGTGGTATTGGAGTTTTCAGCTGTGGTATTGGAGTTTTCAGTTGTGGTATTGTAGTTTACATTTGTGATATTGGAGTTTTCAGTTGTGGTATTGGAGTTTTCAGTTGTGGTATTGTAGTTTTCAGTTGTGGTATTGGAGTTTTCAGTTGTAGTATTGGAGTTCTCAGTTGTGGTATCGGAGTTTTCAGTTGCTGTATTGGAGTTTTCAGTTTTGGTATTCGAGATTTCAGTTGTGGTATTGGAGTTTTCAATTACGGTTTTGGAGTTTTCAGTTGTTTTCATGGAGTTTTCAATTTCGGTATTAGAGTTTTTGGCAGAGGTATTGGAGTTTTCGGTTGAGGTATTGGAGTTTTCAGTTGTGGTATTGGAGTTTTCAATTGTGGTATTGAAGTTTTCAGTTGTGGTATTGGAGTTTTCAGCGGTGATATTGGAGTTTTCAGTTATGGTATTGTAGTTTTCAGTTGTGGTATAGGAGTTTTCAGTTATGATATTGGAGTTTTCAGTTATGGTATTGGAGTTTTCAGTTGTGGTATTGAAGTTTTCTGTTGTGGTACTGGAGTTTTCAGTTGTGGTATTGAAGTTTTCAGCTGTGGTATTGGAGTTTTCATTTATTATATTGGAGTTTTCAGTTATGGTATTGGAGTTTTCAGTTGTGGTATTGGAGTTTTCAGTTGTGGTATTGGAGTTTTCTGTTGTGGTATTGGAGTTTTCAGTTGTGGTATTGGAGTTTTCAGCTGTGGTATTGGAGTTTTCAGTTATGATATTGGAATTTTCAGTTATGGTATTGGAGTTTTCTGTTGTGGTATTGGAATTTTCGGTTGTGTTATCGGAGTTTTCAGATGTTTCATTGGAGTTTTGAGTTATAGTATTGGAGTTTTCAGTTGTGGTATTGGAATTTTCAGTTAGGGTATTGGAGGTTTGACTTTTAGCATTGGTGTTATCAGTTGTTGCCTTGGAGTTTTCAGTTGTGATATTGGAGCTTTCAGTATAATTGGAGTTTTCAGTAGAGATGGAGTTTTCTGTAAAATTGGAGTTTTCTGTAGAATTGGGGTTTTCTGTAGTAATAAAGTTTTTAGTAGAAGTGGAGGTTTCTGCAGAATGGGAATTTTCAGTAGAATTGGAGTTTTCAGTAGAATTGGAGGTCTCTGTATAATTGGAGTTTTCTGTAAAATAAGAGTTTTCAGTTGTGGTTTCTGTAGAATCCAAGATGTCACCAAATATTTCAGTTTTTATATTGAACAAGTTTACATTGTTTTCTGGGAAGAGAAAATAAGTTTATGAAACTATCGATAAAGTAAAAACCATTTTGAAAAGTTAGTTAGACTTGTTACCCTGCCTTACAACCTCCTTCTATTCTCTCAATTCCTTCCCAAAACCCCCCTTCCCCCCCCACAACCATTCATTGCTCCCTTTATCTCTCCATCCATCCCTTTATCTCTTCATTGCTCCCATTTACCTCTATCCCTCCCTTTATCCCTCCAGCCCTCCCTTTATCCCTCCATCCCTCCCTTTATCCTTTCATTGCTCCCTTTATTCCTCCATCCCTCCGTCCATCCCTTTATCCCTTCAACCCTCCCTTTATCTCTTCATTGCTCCCTTTATCCCTTCATTGCTCCCTTTATCCCTTCATTGCTCCCGTTATCCCTTAATTGCTCCCTTTATCCCTTCATTGCTCCCTTTATCCCTTCATTGCTCCCGTTATCCCTTCATTGCTCCCTTTATCCCTTCATTGCTCCCGTTATCCCTCCATCCCCCTTTTATCCCTCAAGACCTCCCTTTATTCATTCATTGCTCCCTTTATCTCTCCATCCATCCCTTTATCTCTTCATTGCTCCCATTATCCTCCAGCCCTCCCTTTATCCCTCCAGCCCTCCCTTAATCCCTCCAACCCTCCCTTTATCTCACCAGCCCTCCCTTCATCCCACCATCCCTCCCCTTTTCCTACAGCTCTTCCTGTATCCCTACATCCATCCCTTAATCCCTCAAGCCCTCCGTTTGTCCCTTCAATGCTCCATTTATCCCTCCATCCCTCCCCTTATCCCTCCATCCATCCTATTAACCCTCCAGCCTCCCTTTATCTCACCAGCCCTCACGTAAATAATCTTATTTTCTTTTTCCTTTGTTTTCATTTTGTTTCCGTTTCTCAAGCAGTGCCTGTAATCCAAACAAAGCAAAATTCTTCTTTCTATCAGATCGTATTTGATTTCTGAAAGAAAAAACTTTAATTTTTTAATGAATTGATTAGTTAATGTTGATCAATAATGATTGCATGGACTAATCAATCAATTGACCGTGCTATCAGTCCAATAAGCAAACTTCCAATAATTTAAATTTTGATTGATTAATAAAATTATGCATACATTTGAAGACTGGGTTAACTTTATGCCTTTGGTTTTATACTTTTATACTTTTTGTAGCCCTGTACATGAACATTTTATACCAATTGTAAGCTTTTTCATGGTTCCAATCTATTTTTTGGCTAGAGTGAAGTAAAAGCATGCTGTGTAAAATGTATCAGCTTTATGGATAGAACTTTTTTACTTTCTTCACATCTGCAGACCTTCCTTTTTACAAAATGATTAATAACTTTACACCACAGGGAAGAATTTGGTTGTCAGACCCTTCGTCAGGTTTATTTTAAATAAAGTGTCTAAAATTGAACCGAACCAACGTTCGCGGATTTTTAATGATTTCTTGGCGGATTTGTATGCCTTTATTTTGTCACATTTCCTAAAAATCATCTTTTAGCTGTGTAATTGATCTATAAAAATCAAGAAATTTATTTAACAATTGATAAATAAAGAATTTAAGTTTAATTAAGCAGTTAGAAATTAAGATGATAAATTATTAATAAAACAAGTAAATGAATGAAATCAAACAAAAGCTGAAAATCAAAATCTATACAAATCTTTTTTTATAAAATCAACCCGGCATTAGATAAAAACAAAAAAATAAGTCAAGTTATTAAACATCTAAAAATCTTTTCCTTTGGTAAAAGATTTAATAATAATCTTAATTATAAGTTAACTTATAAAACCTGCATTTTCCATCGGCTCCGGCAAATTTATTCTTCCCGCACAGATAGTGACTCCCTAAATAGTTAAATATTAACACTATTTACTTTATGTTACAGGACATCATACTTGACGAGTTTCGTAAACATACTGGGCCAGTGTCTCAAAAAAACGGGAAATAATGGTCTACAGACTCGTTTGTAATCGGATTTTCAAAATTGAAACCATTTTTTAAATCTATGTTCAATTTGCGATTCAATTAGCCCAATTTTAGACTTGTAAAATTAAAAATGACAATGCTATAGTTTCCAACTGAAATGAGTATAGTTTGGTAAAAACAAGAAGATAATCTCTGTTTGCACATAAGGGTCTATGCAAACTTGTTTGTAATCGGATTTTCAAGGTTGAGTCCATTTTACATATCTGCGTACAGTTACCAATTCAATGAGCCCGATTTTAGGCTTGTAATTCTAAAAATAATAATTGTACTGTAATAAACTGCAATCTAACATTAAATATAAAATTGTCAAAACGGAGATTATCTTTGACCTTTTACATCGCTCCAGTTGGAAACTTTAGGAGCCTATAAACGTGTTGTCTTTAGCTCTAAAAGCCTAAAATTGGACTCATGGAATAGGAAATTGTACGTAGATATGAAAAAATGGCCTCTATCTTGAAAATTCGATAACAATCAAGACTGTAGACCCTTATACAAAATTGTGCAAACGGAGATTATCTTATTTTTACCAAGTCACTCACTCCAGTTGGAAACTTTGTGAGTCTATAAAGCCTAAAAATGAGCTTATTAAATCGGAAATTGTACGTAGATTTTAAAAATGAATTTAATCTTGAAAATCTGATTACAAACGAATCTGTAGACCCTTATTCCCCGTTTTTTTAAAAATCCTGTTGAAGAGCTCCACAAAAAGTAAAAGAAGTTTTATATTTTTTGTTTGTATAACAAAATCGTTCGCTAAAAAAAGCTTTTTTTGTTGTTTCGTGTAGACTTACTTCTTTGGTTAAAGGCAATAACTTCCATTTTTTTATAAAAGGTATCAAACTCGCGAAGTATAAAATATTGAAATATATATTATAAAGAATCGAGTTTTTGCCTCAAATTTTAATTTTATAACCCCTCTTCGCAACCTGATATTGATATTTTTTGATAATCAAACAGAATTCAAAGTTTAAAATATCTAAGACATATTGCGTTGCAGAGATACAGGGATTAAAAAATTCGAGTTTGTAACACAAACTAAGATCCTTTCAAATTTTTGTCGAGATCAGATAGAAAACCTTTAAGATTTTTGAGTAGAGAAATGAAATAAGAATTCTATCATAATATTCGGCATGTCTGAAGCTTTTCTTATAAAGCAGGAGACTAATCCCAAGGTGTTGTTAAAGAGTGCAACATGTCTCCAGGAAAAAATTTAAATCTAAGAAAGTTTTTTTAATATTACCTAATAAAGACCTGTTTCGATCATCTTCTGCGTCCAGTTGGGCTTTCAATGCAGAGAAAAACTAAAAAAAAATATTTTCTAAACTTTGGATTAAAAACATGACTTTGTACTTTTTTATTTTATCTTCAATGCGACCCCTGATAAGAGTGAAATAGAAAACCGACATTTTAGCATTATTAAAGAAACAGACCGGCTATGTAAGGTAGTTGCACTGAATATGCAGTGTTGTGGAAAGCTTCTTTCGGATTCATTTGAGACATATAAAACATTTTTAAAGATCTTTAAATGCTGAGTTTGAGAGCAAATTTGAAGTTCAAAACTCCTACTTTGGGGGTGGATACGTTTTCAGAATCGTTTTTTTAAATTATTAAATAACGACGACGAAAAATAAAGTAAAAATCATACAGTAATCTAATTATATGATTGGGAACATATTTCTCAAAAGAAATTTGTCAATAAATCAATGCTAGAATCAATAATTTCGTTTTCATCATCATGTTAAATTTCTTATTTCTTTGAATTTATTCGCAGATTTCTACAAATTCTTGAAATGTCATCTTTTCAATAATAATTCCAGAAAATCTGCAGAAAATCTTTGTGAATAATGAGAAACTAGAATAATGAAAAAAAAACTAACAATTGAACAAAAATGACAAGATTAATTTCTATTTTCTCAACTTGTTCCTAAACAACTAATTAGTTTACTGTTTTTAGTTTTGTAAAACTAGTTTTGTTTACATTTTTTGTTGCCTATTTATTAATTTAAATAAAAAACGATTCTTAAAACGCATCCACCCCCAAAGTAGGAGTTTTGCAAACGTCGAATTTGCGCTCAAACTCAGGATTTATAGATCTTTAAAAAGTTTAATATGTCTCAAATGAATTCTAATTTCCACAACACTGCATACTCAGTTCAACTACCTTACATAGCCGGTCACTCCCTTAAATGTATATATTTGATGTTGTTTTAAAGCAAATAGTTTTACCAGTAGGTTGAAAACCAACTTTTATGTGAAATGTGTCTGAATGTACACGTTTCACGTTCATTGGGCTATAGCTTTAGTCTAACAGTCGTCAAAATATAGTTTTTACCTGAAAATATACCTGTAAAATATAGTTTTTATGTGTAAACTATCGTTTTTACCTGTAAATATAGTTTTTTTCCTGTAAAGTAACGATTTTAACTATTTAAGTATAGGTTTTTATTACCTGTAAAATATCATTTTTTATTTTTAAAATATCATTTTTACCTGTATAATATCGTTTTACGTGTAAATATCTTTTTTTTACCTGTAAAATATATTTTTAAACTGTAAAGTATAGTTTTTTAACACGTAAAATATAGTTTTACCTCTAAAATATAGTTTTTTACCTCTAAAATATAGTTTTTTACATGTAAAATATAGTTTTACTTGTAAAATGCAGTTTTCTACCTGTAAAATATTGTTTTTTTTTACCTGTGAAATCTAGTTTTACCTGTAAAATATAGTTTTTTACCTGTAAAATATAGTTTTACATGTAAAACTTAATTTTTTACCTGTAAAATATCTTGAAGTGAATTTGTCTTCTGATTCTGTAACCCAACAAACCAATCTGCAACATCCCTAAATTCAAAATTTTTATTAAAAAAATTCATTAATAAAAACACCTTTTTGAAAGCGGACAGGGGAAAAGTGGCCGAACTGTGAAAGAAGAGGGGCAAAGGGGGATCGGAACTGTGAAAGACGAGGGGTGGAAGGGGGGCGTAACTGTGAACGAAGGGGCAAGG